TCTTGATTTATTAACAAGATACTGAATATAACAATCAGTGTCTAAGTATTCCATAAAATCGTCAACATATCCTACACAAATTTCTTTATTATCTTCCATTTTCTTATAACTTTAACTCCTCAAAATGTAGAGCCCTGATACCATTAAAGTGTAGGTGTACAAAATTCTAAAAATGCAAAAATACAATTAAAAGATTACTAAAAAATTATTAATCAATATCAAATTTTTCAGGGCTCAAGAAGGTGAAAAGAGTTGGTGTAGAAAAGTTAAATTTTTATTGCAAAGGACAAACAATTTATCGAATCCAAAATTAGAATTAAAGTTTTAAGAACTAAAATGAAATTTATTTAATATTATAATGACTTGTTTTAAAACCTTTTATATTAATGGTATTTTAGGAACTAAATTTTTAAAATGGTAAAGTGGTATTTTGAAAAGGCTATTGTTGAATTTGAGGTATTTTCAATAATTTCTCATATTTTAGGACAACACTTGTTTTCCTCTCTCCGTGACCCGTCGTTCCGTGGCACGCACCATTCAATTGGACCTGTGAACTCTCGAAACGCTTCCCGTTCACCGTTCGATCGTGGTCAAACGGATCAAACGCGTTCAATAGATTCAAAGTTTTGACTTTTGGATCAATTCAAGGTTTTGAATTTCATTTCTCGTAAGATTTAAATTAATATATTTTTACCATTAAATTGCAATGATTATACTTGTTGATTTTGTTCTCCACTCGATCTTAATGCCGTTTAGTTTCAAAAATCTTTTTATCAATATCGTGCAAGTGATGGCACTATAATCGTTTTCTGTTCGGGATAGCGGTTGCTTTCATTACTTCTATTTATACGTCACAAATATATGGATTGAAATTTGATTGTGTTGTACTGGTTTTTGCCCAGATTTGAATATTTTGTTCTTTATTTCTATTTTATTTTAGTTCATTTTCCAGCTTTTGAGCTCCGATAGTTTTTATTTAAATTGATATTCCATTTTTTAAACGTTCTCCCAAACTGCCAAATGCGTTGTCTAGTTGTTGAATGCAAGATAAGCACCTTAATAGCTAAACCAAACATGGATTTCAAGCCCCTTGCGGCATCTTTCAGCAAATTGTATGGCGACGGAACCTTGAAACGTGTACCCATTCTGTGCCTAATCCCGCCCACCCACGTTACATAAAGGTCCATCGGATGAAATAACGAGGTAAAGTTTTAGATTTCTAGGCTAGTGAATGTCACAATCATATGATAATTCAGTACACTATGGTAGCCTAAAATCTGGATAAACTTTAATCATGATTATCACTAGTTTTTGTCTGGTTTAGATTCAGAATAGCATGAATGCATCCCTTTTTCCTTCCATTGGAGATCACCAAACAACTTGCTTGACTCTATATAGTTGCTAAACTGTTCCTGCAATACCATTTCTTGACTGGTTCCATTTATGAACCTGTATGGTGACATTCACTTGTCAATGAAACATAGATTCCAGTGCGACTAAGTGCTTTAATTTGGTGTTGTTTTCTGAGAATGTTGCATCTTAGAGTATCTTCAAGAGATTTTTTAAGAGTAATGTTATTCATCTCCAGTGATGATGAAAATATAGTTTATGTGGCTGTAAATGATAGGTGAAATGAAATGTGAAATTAAATGACTTATTTAATTTTACCCATCATTTAATGCAATATTAGCACCACCTAAACTGTGTTTTCATCCCCAATGGGGATGAATAGCATTACTCATTTTTTAAACATAAGATGTTCTCTATAAAATTTTAAAGAGTCAACTCTTAAAATTACGCATCAAGAAACTCTTTAAATTAATATTTTAATTTAGAGAGTGAGTTTGACTCTCTAAATTTGGAGAGCTGATCTCACTTTCTATAATTAAAAACATTCAATGTATTTAAATTTTCAATTGAAGAAAATGATATAATAATTTGAAAGAAAGTTGGGGTCCATTTGATTGCAATGATGGAATTTGGGTGGAAAGAAAAATAAATTTCAGGGAATTGAATTTGCCTAAAATTCATTTTATTGGGAATTGTCAATTAATTGTGTTAAAAAAATAAGTTAGAAAAAAAATCAATTTTAAAAAAGGAAGCCTTCGGATAAGAGTGGACGTCAACTTCGATTGTGAAATTAGATAAGTGAGGAGAGAAAATTTGTATATGACCTTTCGTGTCTCACAATATTTCAAAATAAGTTCGAGGAAAAAACGCAAATAATTCAGTTTTCCACCGCACCATTCAGTTCTATCCGAGTGCTACCTGTCTCATCGGATTGATGATTGTCAATGAAGTGAACATGTGGGGGTGCGTTTGATCTATGTGTGTGAAATTAAACGAAGAATGACGACGATAAATACCTTCCCGTAGGAGCCCTGCGATTCTCCACCGCGAAAATTCAACTCTCTCTCTCTCTCTCTCTCTCTATACTGTAAGTTTTTCCTCCCCGTTTCTCTGAATTTGCTTTGCTTTTGTCTTGGGATGAAATTGATTCTGTCTTAGAAATTGTTTTGAAGTTACAGTACTTGTTCTGTTGTTATGTAATGTTTGTATGTTTAATTTATTGCCACTTTGGCTTTCTGATCTTTTTTTAATTAATTACAAAATAATAGGGTTTTGTCTCTATGCTTTTATTTTTTCTTTTTTCCTTCGCTGGTTTTTTTTCCCTGCAGTGAATGTTATGATTTACTTTAATGGTAAAAGTAAACCCATATTTAATTCTATGTCATTTCGAAATTTGAGGAAGAAAATTAATGACGAATTCAGATCTCTTGGGGCTAATAATTACACTGGGTTTGTCAGTCAGTTTGGTATTTTGAGCTTAGAAATTGGTATTTCCAGAAAATCAATTCAAATTGAGTGGAAGTTTTCCTACTTATTATTACAAGGGATTGATTCCATGTCAACATACACAACCAGAGAAGCTAAATAGATGTTGATTCTCGATGGCAGTTTATTTATACGCAAACTCTACGTGTTAAGAGATTGATGGAATCCATAATTGTTTCTACTGATTCTGTGTCTTTATTTACAGTAATTGACATTAAGTTTTATTAATGCTCCTCAAATCCAGTGTAATTGAAAATTCTAACGCAACATGTGTTATTTAGACAAATTTTTCTGGTTCACGGATAGAAAATATTCACGATTTCTTTGTTCAAACTGGTGATGGAAGATAATATCACTATGGTTAGATGAAGCACACTTCATGTTCTAGTTATTTTTCTCTT